CTCTCTCTCCCTCCCTCCCTCCTATGAACAGTAACATTCAAAGCAAACATTTTTTTCCTAACTACATCCAACATTCCACTACGTTTCACTACCTATTAATTTATTTAAAATTACTTGTCTTTTGGGGGGAATGGGAGGGGGGGGGGTGCATGGGATTCCGGCAGATTCATTACCGGAACGATTCTTAGCTACAACTAGAATAAGAATAACAATTAAATTTTTTTTAGCAACAGCGACGACAGCAGGAGCACACTTTATGCATGGACATTTTTAAACTCTTAAAGTGTTTTGCAACATTGACTGTCATTAGTATAATCTATTAATATATTTGGCTACTTGGAAACACGTGTCACTTTTTCCTTTAAACTGCGACAGCTACAGAGTTGAAAGTTGGCAAGTATCTGCCAAAAGATAGATAGGTCCCCATGACGGAGCCTGATTTTTTTATTTATTCATTTCCTGAATTTAGAAAAATATATTTGACGAAAAGTTCCCGTCCTTCTTTGGCCTTTGTGATTATTCCACTGAGAGGCGAAACAAATCTGCGTAGCTAGCTGTCCTCCGCAGCGGAAGTGCCAGAAGTGATATTTCACGAGGCGCATTTTGTTTTGAGAATATAGATCTAGACCTTCTAATTTTTTGTATGTCTCAAGATTTATTGCTCCCTTCAGGTAGAGTGTAAATATAGTAGGCCACTGACTTCCAGTTGATGTTAATGCACCGATCATTCCTTTCATCGAAAGGGGTCCAGCCAGTTGTATATATATATTATGGAAATGCATTGAGCAAATAGAGCGTGTTGCCTCGTTCATGAAGGCCTTTTTATGTCTGCGGAATAAAAGTTTTCTTTTTTTGACAAACTAATTCCCAAAAATACTCACGGAGAAAAAAATCCCAAGAACTTGTTCTCCTTGTCATCGGAGTCCTGCATTTTTTAAATGACACGAATTATATGTTATATTTTCTTGTTGTTTTATTTTTTTCCTGTACATGAACAAATATGAACGTCACAGATGAATACATAACATATGTACATATATGTGTTGCGGCACACACACACACACACACACACACACACACAGACACACACACACACACACACACATACACACACACATA